AGCAACTGGTGATATATTTCAAATTGGTTGGCTGACATTGGACCAGGTGAACGAGGTCACAGGGGCTATATAAGTTAAGACTGCCCAGGAGGACGGGGCAGCAGCCATGCGGGGACTCAGATAGAGAGAGGAGCTTTACCATCTGAAACTGGCGCTCTCCCCCATAACTCATGAGCGAGGAATGGCCTGCCTCCAGAGGGAATCTCCAACAGCCTCAGGATGATGCTTGTGAGTAAGCTGCTCGAGATCTGGTTAGATATCTAGCTGGCAGTAACTCAGATGCGTGATCAAAAGGCTACCTCAGCCAGGCTGTTTTGCTCTATGGGATTTCTATGATATTGCTCTATCTTGTGCCCTGTTTTCACCCTACCCCTGTAATCAATAAAGTTCTCCTTTGTGACTGGTGTAGGAGACTTATTGAGGGGTGGGTCTAAATTATGCCTAAGAGGACCCTTAGGTCTACGGACTAAGAGGGACTTTCCTTTTTGGCCCCCAACTTGGAGAAGTGCCCCAAGTGCCTGTACTGGGTTGAGTACCCGTAGGACTATTAGGCCTGTGTTCCCCCAAGGACACAGGGCCAAGAGAGTCCCTTCTCGGGGTGGTGGCAGCTTACATTACCCCAGGCTAGCGAGTGTGCTCCAGGAAGGGGGTCAGCCGGACGCGAGGCGCCCCAGGGAGGCACTCGGAGCCTGGAAGGTGGTTGGGTGCAGGGAGGTGGGTGGCTCAACGCAGGAGCACCCCCTACTGGCCCGCCACATAAGGAAAATGCTTGTGTAAGGGTTTTTGGTATGTCTGGTGTGTGTAAATATGCTTCGTTTATGTGGAAAGAGGGAACGAAAGAATGAATGACGGACATATGGGATAGCGACAGAAGAAGACAGGCCTCTTGCAGAAGGTGAACATAGCCTTCTGTGGTTTAACGGTTAAGGGCTGCAGCCATGTTGAGTCAGCAGTGAAGGATTACCAGACACTAAATCATGCTCCATCCTGATGGCTGAAGACTGCAAGCGACAGACCCTGAAGATAGTAGTGGATGGTAGTGGATGGGTCATTTTCGACCTGGAGGGATGTGGGCAGTGGGGTTCCGCAGGGCTCGGTCCTCGGGCCCGCACTGTTCAACATCTTCGTCAGTGACTTGGACGAGGGGGTAAATAGCACCCTGTTCAAATTTGCTGATGACACTAAGATGTGGGGGGATGTGGGCATGCTAGAAGGGAGAAATAGGCTGCAATCGGACCTAGACAGGTTACGGGGTGGGTGGACAAGTATAGGATGGGATTCAACACTGACAAGTGCAAGGTGATGCACCTGGGGAGGAAGAACCAGCACCATACCTACAGGCTGGGGAACTCCCATCTTGTCAGTGCAGAGGCAGAAAAGGATCTTGGAGTCATTGATGCCAAGATGAACATCGGCTGGCAGTGTGGGGGTGCAGTCAGGAAGGCCAACCACACCTTGTCATGCATCCACAGATGCATCTCAAGCAGGTCCAGGGAGGTGATCCTCCCCCTCTATGCAGCACTGGTCAGGCCACAGCTGGAGTACTGTGTCCAGTTCTGGGCACTGCACTTCAAGAGCAATGTGGACAACATGGAGAGGGTCCAGAGGAAGCCACTTGCATGATCAGGGGGCAGCAGGGCAGGCCCTACGAAGAGAGACGACGGGACCTGAACCTGTTCAGCCTCCATAAGAGAAGGCTGAGGGGGGATCAAGTGGCCTGTTACAAACTAGTCAGAGGGGACCAGCAGGCATTGGGGGAGTCCCTGTTCCCCCGAGCACTGCCAGGAGTAGCAGTCACAAGCTGGCAGAGGGTAGATTTAGGCTAGATATCAGGAGGCACAACTTCACTGTCAGGGCAGCTAGGATCTGGAACCAACTGCCAAGAGAAGTGGTGCTGGCTCCTACCCTGGGGGTCTTTAAGACAAGGCTTGACAATCACCTTGCTGGGATTGATTGACCCCAGTACTCTTCCCTGCCGTGGTAGGGGGTCGGACCTGATGATCTCCTCAGGTCCCTTCCGACCCTACTAACTACGAAACTAAGATTGCAGACAACAAAGCCAGAAGATCATGACCTACCCATCTCAGCCTGCCAACAGGACAAGGATGGCCTTTGCATCAGACTCAGTGGAATCCATAGGCTGGTACGAACAGCTATTACTATAAAGAATGAACACAAAGACAAGGCTTTGGGACTCTTCCACCTGCAAGAAGGAGTTTTGGGCGCGTCCAACAAGACCTGACTCCAACTCTCTTGGTCAGCTTGGCCAGCCACCAGACTGATCTTGAACAACTTTAAAACTTGGTAACACCTTAACCTTTGCAGGACTGTCTAACTTCTGTGTGTGTGTGTGCCTGTCTCTTTTGAAGGAATGGATGAATGAATGAATGAGTATGCATGGAAATGAGTGAAGCAAATAACCTTACTGTTCTTTATTCTTTTTATGTTTTATGTTCCAGTAAATGCGGCATTGTGCCTTATCCCCTGATAAGATTCTGGCTTGTTTTTAATTCACACTGTACACCCTGTGCACACAACGCAAGCTATTGAAGAAAGGATCATTTGGTCTGACGTGTTTGTACAAAACCTGCTACCACTGGGCTCTGCACTGATTGGTACTAACAATAAGTGAAAACCTGGCATCAACATAATAGTGATTTACCTGTACAAATGGAGCACAGTCGTGGCTCCACCCACCCCATGGAGCACAGCCTGACAGCGGGAGGCTGAGGCTAGCCTCGCAGAGTGCAGCCTGGCCCAGCCCACCCCACACAGATCTGGGGGTACATGTGGTGTGTGACACGCCTGCTCTCATGCCCTCCTGGACTGGCAGCGAAAGCCACCAGAGCAGCCACCAGAAGAAGAGCTCCTGGACAAGTTGTCACTGCCTGTAGTCCTGTGTGCAGGGGGACCCCAAGACCTGCCTAGAACTGGCAGTATCGGGGACCCCAATATACCCCCACCGCTGGGTTCATGGGGAACCCCAAACCGTCCCAGAGCCAGGTGCTAGGGGACCCTGAGACCCTCACCAGAGCCAGGTGCCTTGGGATCCCAAGACCTAAGCAAGGCTGGCAGCATTGAGGACCCAGAGATCCCCCCAGTCCCGAGTACAGGGGAGAGTCCCTGAAACCCCACCAGAGCCAGCAGCATTGGGGACCCTGAAACTCCCACCAGAACTGGGTGCTGGGGGACACCGAGACACCCAAAAGCCAGCAACATTGGGGACCCCAAGACTGTCCCAGAGCTGAGTGCGGGCGGACTTGGGTGCCAGGGGACCCAGGTGCCAAGAATCCCCCAGTCCCGTGTGCCGAGGGACCCTGAAACTCCACCAGAGCCAGCAGCGTTGGGGACCCTGAAACTCCCACCAGACCCAGGTGCCAGGGGACCACAAGACCCAGGTGTCTTGGGACTCTGAGACTCCACCACAGCTGGCAGCATCAGGGACCCAAGACCGCTGGACAGCTGGTGCAGGGGGACCCGGAGACCCCATTGGAGCCAGCAGCATCAAGGACCCCTGAGATCCCCCTAAACCCAGGTGCCGGGGGAACACTGAGACCCTTCTAGACCCGGGTGCCAAGGGACCTGAGTCTGCCCCAGAGCCAGGTGCTGAGGGACCCCTCACTCCCGACCCACAGCCCACCCCCCAAACCTGGGCCTGGGCCCTCGGAGGTGGGGCATTCGGACAGGCCGGGCAGCCCCTCAGAACCCAGGTCAAGGGTCGCTGGGCCATGGCCTTGGATATGGGTCTGGGGGGCAGGGGGATGACCGGGTCGTGGAGGAGGGGGGGGTCTCTAGGCCAGGGAAGGGCATGGGGGGAAACTGAGGCATGGGGGCTGGGGGGTTCAAGGGAAACTGAGGCACTGAGGCCCGGGGCGGAGCACACGGAGAGAAGCCGGAGAGGGGAGTGGGGGCCCAGAGGAAACTGAGGCAGAGGGCTGGAGTGCATCCGGCAGGAACTGAGGCGTGGGGGGATCCGGGCATGGTGGAAACTGAGGCACGCGGAGACCGAGGCGCAGGGGCTGCAGGGTCCTGGGGGGAAACAGGGGCTCAGGGCGTGGGGGCCACTGGAGACCCTGAGGCCCGGGAAACAGGCAGGGGCTGGGGGCGGCGAGGCCGGGGGGGCACCCCCAAACGAGCAGCCCCCCCGCCCTGCGGCTCCAACCACCGAAGGGTTAACGCGCGGGCGTGATGCGCCGCTGCCGTGAGTGACGTCCGTGTGTGACGTGATGGGAGGAGCTACGAAAGCGGCGGATGCGCTACCGGTGTTTGCAGCTCCCCGGAGTCTACGCGGGGGAGGTAGGGGAGCGGAGCGGGGCCGGTACGGCGGTGAGGAGCTGCGGGTCGGGAGCGAGGGGCATCAGCAGAGCCGGGGCGGCATGGGCTGCGAGTGGGGAGTGAGGAGATGCTGGGCAGGAGACTCCACTGGTGTCTGGGGCTTTTGGGAGACGCTGAAGACACTTCCCAGACCAACGCTGCCTGGCCGTGGCGCAGCCATGTGGCTGTGGGTTGGTGCTGGGGGCCTGGCGCGATGTGCAAGGAGCTGTGGTGGGGCTCCAGAGAGTAGCTGTGTCCTATGTGGGTGCTTTGGGGGACTGGAGGCCCTTAAACTACAGGGGCTCTGGCCCACGCTGGGTGCCAGGTTGGTACTGTAGGGCCTGGTGGAGGGCAGGGGCAGATGTGAGACTTGTGGTTGGGGGTTTCTGGAGGAAGCCCAGTCCCCGCAGCCTGTGTGGAGCAGGAGGGGAGCAAGGATGATCCTGAAGCTGCTCTGCATGGGGACAGTCAGGCCTGGGCAGGCCTCGGGGCTGCAGCAGGGTTATGGTCCTGGGTCTCCCATCACATGGTGGCACCTGTGCTGTCTCCTTTCCCACAGAGCCCTGGAGGCCAGATGCTGTGGGCAGGCACAGCCTGAGCACAGGGGAGCGAGAGCCCAGGTGCCGGGGGGAGGAGGTGTCTCCTGGAGGAGATTGTAGCTGTGCTGAAGCCAGTGGCAGCTGTGGCCCTTCCTTTTGCAGCCTTGCTGCAGCCTGAGGTGATACTGGAGGAGCAGGACCTAGGGGGGCTCCAGGCAGGAGCTGAGGGACAGGATAAGTCCCCACTATCATTCAGCCTGGGATGGGGCAGGGGGCATCCCCAAGGTGGTCAGCACCACAGGCAATAAAGCAGCAGCTGCAGGAGGAGCTGGTCCAGCACCAGGAGATCTGGGGGCAGGAGGTGATACAGGCCATGCAGCCCCTTCTGGGGCCAAGATTTCCTCAGAGACCCCCACAGCTGCACCGGGGACAACCTCCCCACCCCAGAGACCTGATGCCAGAGCTTCTGGGGCCTTCGCTACCTGGAATTCAAGGGGCTGTAGGAGGTTTGTAGCCACCTGTGGAAGTTCTGTCTGCTCTGGCTGGAGCCCTAGCACTGCAGCAAGGAGCAGGTCCTGGAGCTGGTAATGCTGGAGCAGTTTGTGGCCATCCTGCTGGGTGCGGGTGCACAGCGTGGGGCTGCAGCATGACCAAGGGGTTCCAGCTGTGATAGGTGGAGGATGAGAAGCTCCAGTATGGGCCTGGGACTGAGGCATGTCTCCAGCTGAGAGCATTTAACCCTGATCATTCATACTGCCATCCCCATCTTCACCTGCTTTCCATTCCCACAGCTTTCCAGTGACATATTTATCTCATCCCCAGGTCACAGTGAGTGTGAAGGTTGAGGAGGTGCCCTCAGACAAGATGCAGCCCACTGGGGCACTGCAGGACCCTGGTGATTGCTGGCTGGAGCTGCCAAAGGCCCATCACACCAACAGGTCACTGGGGGAGGCTGGACAGAGGGAAACCCTGGCACCTGGGGACAAGCCACCTTATGTCCCCAAAGAGGAGCCCCCACCCCACCAGGAGTCAGGTGAGGCACTGGATGTAGGCCTGTGCATGGGTCTGGGTGCCTGAGAAGCTGTTCTGCATGGGGATGGGTAGAGGCTCGAATGTCTGCCCCTGTCTGGGACAGATGTAGCCTCACCAGTGCTGAATAGAGGGAAGAATCACTGCCCTCGATCTGCTGGCAGCGCTCCTACAAATGCAGCCCAGGATGCCATTAGCCTTCTTGGTAACCACGCTGCTGGGTCCTATTCAGCTTCTTGTGCCCTGTCACCCCCAGGTCCTTTTCTGCAGAGCTGCTGCCCAGCCAGTCAGTCCCCAGCCTGTACCTGGTACATGGGATTGTTCCGTCCTAAGTGCAGAACTTTGCTCTTGTCTTTGCTGAACCTCATGAGAGTTCTTTGGCCCAATTCTGCAATCTTTCTGGGTCACCCTGAATCCTAGCCCTATCCTCCAGCATATCTACTGCTCCCCCCAGGTTGGTGTCCTCTACAAACCTGCTAAGGGTGCATGCACTCTGCCATCTTCCAGGTCATTGCTGAAGACTTTGAACAAAACCCCTGGGCTGACCCCTGGCGCATTCCACTTGATACCGGCTGCCAACTAGACATTACGCCATTGATTACTGCCCTCTGAGCCCAATGCTGCAGTCAGTTTTCTGTCCCCCTTACAGTCCATTCATCCAGCCCCTACTTCCTTAGCTTGCCTGCGAAAATGCTGTGGGAGACCATATCAAAAGCCTGGTTAAAATCAAGGTACTACCACATCCCCCGGCCTCCCTGCATCCACAGAGCCAGTCACCTCATCGCAGAAAGCAATAAGGTTGAGCTTTAACATATCTTAAATTAAAACTATCGTTTAAATAGGTTTATTTTTTTAAATAAGCATCTTAAATAAAATACTATTAAATAAAAAAAAAATCTTATTTTTTTTAATCCACCCTGCTTGCTGTTCTAAGGATCAGTGCCTTACTCACCCCTTTCTCATGCCACCATGAGCCCTCTGTGCCCAATAAGCGGCTGGTGCAGGTAACGGGGAAATGAGACTTCCCCAGTGGCCTCTGGCTGGTTCAGGTACAGCTAACCCAGGCCTCCATCCTGCTACAAATTCCCCTGAAACTGAAGAGACCTGGGAGTTGTTGGCAGATAGAAGCTTCTCAGGCTGGTGCCCCAAACAAGACTCTTCCCAAGAAGCAGGTGAGGAGTGGTGGCTTTGCCCTTTCCAGCAGCAGGAGGCACCATCCATCTGTCTGCCAAAACATCTTGATGGAGTCAGTGCCCCAACAGAGTGGCTGTTCTTGTTTTCCCTGGAGAAGATTGACCTTGCATTTCCTCTCCCCCTGCCCTTAATGTGTGGATCTGATACAGTCCCTACATCCCTTGAGCTTCTTTCCCCAGGTAGTGATGTTGCTGCAAGCTCTGTTGTGGTGCTGTGATCACCACCCTGCACTGGGATAGAGTTATTGGGGCTCATCTTCAGCTTCGTGCTTGTGCAGATCTGTTAGCCAAACCTGTGGGACTTTGATTCTTCCTTCTCCCCATGCTTCCACACTCTGAAGCCTCTGGCTGCCTCAGTCCCAGGCCCGTACAGGAGACTAGCAGGCCTTTCCCCATGCTAATGGCATCAGGGCTAACGTGTTCACTTTCTTTCCTGCCCTGAAGGTGCTGGGACCCTGAGCAGAGCTGAGCAGCAGCCTCCTGAGGAGGGGCCTGTTAACCTGGAGCTGCAGAGGATTTTCCCAAGGAGACTGGAGGAGAGGAGCTCCATGGTACCTGAGCCAGGCCAAGTGCAGACGTGGCAAAGCAAACCTCCAGAGCAGGGGGAGAGCTTGGAGGTGAGCTGGGCACTAGGTCGAGTTGGGTGTGGGAATAAAGCTGGGGCAGAACTCAGGAGGAGTCAGGGGTGGTGTAAACAATATGGGGTGCAGAGAGACCTGAAGAGCATCAAGTCTGTGGTGATAGAGGCTGCAAACACACCAAGCTGGCATTAGCAGGGGCTGCCTTCTAAGTGCAGATAGCCAGGGGGGTGCTGGCATGGGCCTTGTGAATGCATAGAGCCAGGGCTTCCTGCCCCTAAAAGTGCTGGCCAGGCTGCCTCAAAGGACCAAGCAAATAAAATGGGATGAGCTGGGGTAAGGCCAACACATGAACTCCTATGTCCACAGCTGCATCCACATCACATGTCAGCTGAAGTCTGGGGAGAATATTGCACCTTTACCTGTCATGACAAAGCCTGCAATTAGTTGTAATACACAGTGATTCCAGACAGGGCTGTGGGGGCTGGAAGCAGCTGGAACATGAGACACTGATGGTGTAACACTTGTGACTACAGCTCCAGGAGGTGTTTGAAGATGTGGCAGTGTATTTCACACAGATGGAGTGGGAGCTGCTGGAAAATGAAGACAAGGTGCTTTACCAGGACCAGATGCTGAGAAATTTCCAAGCCCTCGTTTCCCTGGGTAAAGCTCTGCTTCTTGCTTCCCCGTGGAACTATGTGAACTTTGAAGTTTATTGTCTTCCTGTTTTTCAGCAGTATCATCCTCATGCACCTTTGGCTGGTGGTTTAAAGATGCTTCCTCCCCATTGCTTTGTTAGTGATCAGACCTCTCTTACATATATTGACAGATCCTCCTTCATTTGATCCAGCCACCTTCACTTGTGTCTTTCCCATTCTTGTAGCTGCTGGTGCTTCCATATCCAACAGTTTCTTGATAACATGATTTCCCTTTGCCTTGTCAACATGTTCATATCATCTTCAATTCATTGTGCATCAATTCACTAACAGTTCTTCCTTGGGGAATATTTCTAATTTTCCCCTTCAATAGTGTGTCCCATCCAAACACATTTAACAGTCCTAGCATGCTCAGTTCAGTAATATCTAAATGACCCAGCACAGGTTAATGGAAGTTTTATTAGCCGTTTCTGCTACAACATGTGGATGATGCATTTCCACAACTCTTCCTCTAGTGACAGGCGCACACATGATGGTACCCCAGGTACCTATACTTCCAGGGGTCACTGGAAGCTTCTGTCCACATTCCTACCTGTGGGTATAGACCAGCGACTCTGGCTTTGCTGTATTTAGCTTAAGGCCTGTGCTCTCAAGCTCACTCTGCCATTCTCCAAAGTTTTCTTGTTCTTCTCCTAAAATCCCCTCTGCAGATCTTATCACAGTGATGGGTGTCTGAAGTGCGCTAGGTGCAGGGCCTAGTGAAAACCATTTTTCGTTTCCAGAGGATCTCTGATACAGGGACTTATTCTGGCTTGTGTGCAGGGTTTAGGTACTTACCTTTTACCAAGTTAGCTTGCTTTTCTAATACTTTCTTCCCCCTCAGCTTCCCCCAGAGGATTTCCTTAAGGAAGTTCTCAAATATTTTCTGTAGCTCAACAGAGACCTCATAGACCACTTCTACATTCTGGCCTTTCACATGCTATGAAGTGTGTGCTTTCTGCCACCTTTTTGTCCTTTCCATGACTCTGAGGAACTTGGTTTTACACCTGCCAGTATTTACCAACCTGTGGACTCATCTCCATTTCTGGGATGATGCTCCCTTTGGATGGGATGCTGGATTCAGTTGCAGCTACAGTTTTTATAATATCATCGTGTCCTCTTCCCTGGTGATGCTGATTTATCCTCTCTCCCAGAAAGCAGTTTCTCTGTCAGCCACCTGTCATGGATGCTTTTCACTGCCATGGGTCCTCACTTTAAACCTTCACAGAATCATAGAAGTAGGGTCAGAAGGGACCTTGTAGGTCTTCA